GAGCAGGGAGCCCGATGCGGGACTCGATCCCAGGACTCCAGGATCATGACCTGAGCCGAAGGCAGTTGCTCAACCAACTGAGCCACCCAGGCGCCCTACATTTTTTTTAGTTGGGCAAGATTTGCATTTCGATTTATCTGGTCCTTTACATAATGATTTATAGAATGAGTTAAAAAATGGCCACGCAGATCAGATTAAAAAGATAATTGGGTATACTCTGTGGTGAACTCTGGGGTAATTCAAACTTTGCTCCACAAGTCTAAATATTAACATTAGATGGCTGGCCTGTTATTCACAGGCATCTCTGCTAGTTATGGACTTGGCTTAAAGACTTGGTGTGTGTTAGAGATTATAGCTTTTCCTGAATGTAAGAAGCCTGCACTCTCCCCTTTAACCATGGTATCTCCATGTGGACTGGCTTTTTTTTTTTTTAAGATTTTATTTATTTATTTGAGAGAGAGAGAACGAGAAAGAGCACATGAGAGGGGTTAGGGTCACAGGGAGAAGCAGACTCCCTGCCGAGCAGGGAGCCCCATGCGGGACTCGATGCGGGACTCGATCCAGGGACTCCAGGATCATGACCTGAGCTGAAGGCAGTCAGTCGCTTAACCAACAACTGAGCCACCCGGGCGCCTCTGAACTCAGGGACTCTTGACCCTTGAAGTCCGTTCTTAACCCATCTAACAGAGTTGAAACAAAGGGCAATGAGATCCTACGCATGAAAGCACGCGAGTTAAGAAGTAGTGCTGATTTGATCCACAGAGGGGCTGTCTGCACCCCCAGAAGGACCTGTGCACAGCAAGACGGAAACATAACCGCCCGGTCCATGTGAATATGGCTGTGAACAGGGTTAGGTAGGAATATTCTCAAGTGTCTGTATCTTTCCCTCGCTTTGCATGGGGATCCCCCGATGCACAAGCTTGGAGACAGAAGTGCACGGTTCCTCCACATCCAGACTCAGGACTTTATTTTTATTTTTGTCAATAGCTAATACTTGGGCAAGAGCTGCGAGGGGATGGTTCGGTGAGCCAGCGAAACGAACCTAAGATGAGAGCTTGGCATTCCCGTCTTCGACTTCACGATTTCACCTCGCTGCTTCCTTTTTCAGCCCCAACGATTCTTACTGACGTTGATCCTGAAGCCAAGGTGATGCAAGAAGAAATTTTCGGGCCAATTCTTCCCATCGTGCCTGTGAAGAATGCCGACGAAGCCATAAAATTCATAAACAGCCGCGAAAAGCCGCTGGCTTTCTACATCTTTTCTCACAACGATAAGGTAAACGCTCCGGAGAATGACTGACTCCCCGGCATGAGCCACCATCACAGACCCTGTTCCTCTTTGGCCACAAAGCAAACGATGTTCTATTTTGTCGAGTCACAGAGTCCACCGAGTGAGGCGCTGCTCACAGATGGCTGTCTTGGGTAATGAGACCCTGGGGTTATGGCTGTCACCCTTACCATACTCCCTGGGGTCAGACCTGAGTGTTCAGGGCTGGGTCACGAACTTTTGCACCAGCAATCATCTCCCCTGTAATTGGAAGGCTTCCATGCCAGCCTTAGAGGCTTCTGTGGCGTTAACCCCCAGGGCGTTCCTGTGTGAGAGCCTTCCCTCTTGCCCTGGTGGCATTTGCGGCGCTCAGGTGGGCTCTGTGGGACTGAGGTCTGTGGCACGGTCACGGACGTGGTTGTGCAGTCGCACACTTCGCTTTCTCTAGCTCCCTTGTTGTTAGAGCAAATGGGGCCATGCCAGCCAGGTGAGTGTGTGATGCCATATTACACCAGGGTGAGCAGCCCCCCTGCCCTGCTGCACGGCTCACGAGGGGACTGGCTGTTGCTGAGGGACAGTGGCCTTGAGGTGGGCACGTGGGCTCAGGAGCCCTCTGGAGAAAGGGGAGACCCAGACGGAGGCAGGACCCGTCAAGGTCTAGGAGTTCACACACCAGAGGTTTTGCGGAGAGCCTCCCATGGTGACTCGCAGCTTCTGGAGCCTGCCGTGCTTGGAGGTACGGCTTTGTGAAGCGACACTGAACGCGTGGGCCTCCGTAAATCATGGGTTGTTAACTGTGGTCAGTTTACACGACCACAGGTGATGCGGACGAGAACCTGGAAGCCCGAGGTCTCCTGGGCAGCGTGCAAGTCCGTGGGGGCGCGCTGCCCAGCAACGGGGTCACCTGCAGTGACCACAGTCCACTGTGACGCTCATGACTCGAACTCCCAAGGGCTCGTGGGCAGGGAGGTGAAATGACATTACCAGTCAGGTGTCCTCGTGCCTGTTCGGGCCTCCGGCCAACCGTTTCCTCAAAACAAATAGAAAACCAAGTCTGAGAACTTAAATGTGCTTGGCAGCTCCCACACACCAAAGGGTGTCTGTCAGTCCCGCGCCGTCACTTAGAGGAGAGGGAGAGAAATGGCGACGGGTGAAAACCAGGATGTAGTCTGCGCTGTCCCTCGCGGACAGAGGCTTCCGTGGCCATCGCGGCTGCGCAGCCGTAGAACAGACCAGTGCTGCGCCCCTCGAAGGACCAGGGACGGGTCCGAGCACGTGGGCACGATCGCGTTGGCCAAGTGCAGCAGCGCTGCAGAGGGTTGACGCGTGTGGCTCCGTGTGGTCCGCGTGCGTCCCCTCCCTGCGCCACGGGCGTCACTCACCCGAGCCGCGTTCCCTTCCTCAGCTCGTCCGACGGATGATCGACGGCACGTCCAGCGGTGGTGTCACCGCCAACGACGTCATCATGCACTTCACCCTCAGCTCGTTGCCCTTCGGAGGAGTGGGTGAGTATGCGTGGCGCGGGTTCCAGAAGCTGCGCGGTGGCTCAGCTCGCCTGGCCACCCCGGTGGGGGGTGCCTTCCCGCCACCATGTCAGGCCCCCCGGCCGAGGGCTGGCTCCGTCCTGTCACCCCCTCCCGTCTCTAGCAGCCCCCGGCCCAGCCTGTAACCGGCTTTGTTCCTTTCGTTGGTTTACTTATCTATTGGTTATTACTTGGTTATTGTCCTTCTCTTAGAATGAGGGGATTTTTTTTTTTGGGGGGAGGGGGACAAAAGCCAGGTCTCAGATTCATAGATAAGGTCTTTTTCAAAGTGAGGTAGCGAATGCCGGGTGCAGAACGCCCAGAGCAAGCAGCAGTCGGGGTTTCTTTTCTTTTTTTTTTTCTTTTTTCATTGTTTGCGTGTAACACCCAGTGCTCCATGCAGGACGTGCCCTCCTCAATACCCATCACCAGGCTGACCCATCCTCCCACCCCCCTCCCCTCTAGAACCCTCAGTTTGTTTTTCAGAGTCCATCGTCTCTCATGGTTCGTCTACCCCTCCAATTTCCCCCCTCCTTCATTCTTCGCCTCCTGCTATCTTCTTCTTCTTCTTTTTTATTTTTTTAACATATATTGCATTATTTGTTTCAGAGGTACAGATCTGTGATTCATCAGTCTTACACAGTTCACAGCGCTCACCAGAGCACATACCCTCCCCAGTGTCTATCACCCAGCCACCCCATCCCTCCCACCCCACCCCCCACTCCAGCAACCCTCAGTTTGTTTCCTGAGATTAAGAATTCCTCATATCAGTGAGGTCATATGATACTTGTCTTTCTCTGATTGGCAGTCGGGGTTTCTGAGGCCCCCTTGCTGTCTGCTCAGGGTGGGGCGACGTCGTCCTCCGTGTCCACCCCCAGGGCCCCCCAGCCCTCTGTGTGGGGCGTAGCCTCTCCACGAATCGTTGCCCGATTTGAGAAGAGAGCAAGAGACTCCCCGTGTTCTAGAGAGGATGCACAGAAATTCGGAGAAGCTCCATGGACGCAGCCTGGTCCCTGCTGTTCCCTTTGGGCGGTGACCGGCCTGACTCTTTACACTCCAGACGACTACCTCTACTCTTATTTTTCCTTCAGGAGCTAGGTGGTCGGCTTCTCTAATATCTCATTAGAAGTATCACAAATAACGAACATGGAGGAATTCTTAGAGTAAAAAGCAATGAAAACCCTTGTCTTAAAAGCTCTTGCTCTGTTCTCTCCCTCTGTGATCGCATAATGAGTCTATGGGAATGAAGTGGCTCATTTTAACAGGACTACCTGTTTCTGATCCGGGCCGGCTCACATGAGGCCCAGAGACCACGGCCTGCTTCCCAGCATGCCCTGTGTCGCGTTCTAGGATGTAAGGGGATGGCCAGCACCCAGCACTGTGCCTGGCACACGAGGGGCATGTGGTGAGAGGCCGGTCGGGGGCCCAGCCTGGAGCTAGTGGGGGCTTGGACTCGCATGGTTGCAGGGGAGCTGGTGGAAAGGGGTTGGATATTTTGGGGGGTCAAGCTGATGAATTGCACGTGTTGTGGAGGGAGGGGCGGTGAACGAAAGCAACAAGAGCTTACAGGATGGGGGCTACTGTTCCTCACTGCCCGGATTCTTAAAGGATTCGGTGAGACTGCAGTCTCCTGTGCCTCAGTGCCCCCCAGGATCCTGGCTCCCACCAAAGACTCTCGCTGCTCCACGTGGCATCCCTGGTGCCTCCTGAGTGCAAGTCGAGTGACTTGTGTTCGGTCCCTATTTTGCTTGACTAGGTTTGACTGGGTAGCGTTTAGCATCATCGACCATATCCTCCTCTTTATAACAAAACCTTCCCCCCGCTAAATGCAGAAGGAGTCCAGGCTTCCTAAGAAAAGGGAAGAATAAAAGCTTAGAGTACCCATACTCCGCTCTTTAAAGATAAGCTCTGGTGTACGTCCTTAAAATTCTTTTCTTTACATACGTATACATCAAATTTTGTTCAAAATCGTATCCTATTGTAGATTGTTTTTCACCCCATGTGTGAGAGGATAGTGTGATATTTTCCCACGTCTGCATGGTCGTGTGTCATGATTTCGGTAACCGCATACTGCTCTGTCCTACCGATGGGGCCTGTTTGTGTTTAATTCCTGGCATTAGGTTTTTGTGATTCCAGATTTTTCAGTATTAGGATTCTAAAGCAGTTTTGTGCAATTTCTGATTTTTTCCTGAGGAAGAATGTCTCAAAGTGTCATTGCTGTCTTAAAAAGGCTTAGAGCTATTTTTTTTTTAAAGTGAAATGCTTTTTGCCTCCTGTTTCTAAAAGTGATAAGAGGTTTTTTGGGGAAAAGAGCAACAACAACAACAACACTAGAGACAGCTGTAGGGACGAAATGTAATACTCTCCCAGGCATAAACCCTGTTAATGTGTTGACATACAGTTTGGATTTTTCCTTAAAAATGCGTATCTTTTGATGCATATTGCCAAATTTCCCCATAGCTTCAGTTGTCCCCTAAATGATGTACCGGCAGCCCCGTAAAGCACCAGTAGGTGCCTTCCTGGCCCCATTCATCTGTGCGGCGTATCTCCCCAGCACCCATAATAAAGAAGACTGTCCCGGAGCATGGCTTTTTAAGAGGGCAGGGATTTCCACTTGCTTACTATCACCCAGTGGGGTAACCCTGTCATCCTGCCTCCGTTGTTGCTCTCTAGGAGCTTAGAGGAAGCAAGTGGGTGAAGAGGGCTATGGATAAAGCCACATGGAACAGCAGGAAAAGAGCGCACGGTGGTTAAGAGTCCAGCCGACCTGGATTCACATTCTGGCTTTGCATTTTGCACCTTGGGCAGGTTGCCTGACCCTGCCAAGCTCCCTCACCCTCTCTGGGATCGGGAGCACTGATGCCTTTATACAGGGGGATTGTGGCGAGAATGGATTTAGAGAACACAGAGCAGGGGTCTTGTCTCGGTGAGAGCTGCTGGCCCGGAGAGCCGCAAGTCCTCGCTGGACCCTTGGAGAGTGCCCTGTTTGGCAGGGAGATCACCTTGCTGGTGAAGGTGGGGAGGAATCTCCTGAAAGAGCCCCTTGCACTGAGAAGTGAGATGGGGCAGCAGGGAGTGCTGGGGGTTTCCTCCGTCGGGGTTCGCACAGACAGGCAGCTTGTGTCACCTACAGTGGAGTGTGTCTTGTCTGTCCTCTCTGTTCCAGGTTCCAGCGGCATGGGGGTTTATCACGGCAAATACACTTTCGATACCTTCTCTCATCAACGTCCCTGTCTGCTGAAAAGTTTAAAGAGGGAAGGCGCTAACAAGCTCAGGTATCCTCCCAACAGCCAGTCGAAGGTGGATTGGGCAAAATTTTTCCTCCTGAAGCGCTTCAACAAAGGGAAACTCGCTCTGCTGTTCCTGGCTTTCCTGGGCGTGGTGGCGGCCGTGCTGGCCAAGGTGAGTCCCTTTCTGGTCCCGCCCGAAGGGCTGCCAATGGTCCTCTTGCGTTAGGGGAGCTCCTCTACTTTTAGGGGATGGACTCTGTCTCTCGTGTTAACTTCCCAAGTCTAGGGCGGGGTCGGTGACCGCAGCCTGCCCCGTCTTCCTGGGGGACAGCCACGACCCCCTGCTGACTTAGTGTAGCCACAGTGGTCGTGCAGCCCCCAGAGCCTAAACGATCACAGAAGGAGCGTGCCAACCTCTGGTGTAAGAGTTTTAAGACCCCGGGGGCGCCTGGGTGGCTCAGTCGGTTAAGCGGCTGCCTTCGGCTCGGGTCATGATCCCAGGGTCCTGGGA